AATATTTATTTTTGAATAATGAGAGTAGATCTGATTATTATTTATAAAATTATGTTATTTATGTTTTCCATAATTTGTAAAACAAACACTGACTAATTTTACAATTTGGAAAAAAAGAACACTATTTAAAAAAAAAAGAAATGATATGCAGATCCTCTGCTCATGGGAGGCTACAGAGTGGAAAACAGAACCACAGTATCAACTGTCAGAAAATCCTTTTGAGCCAGGACTGGTTTCCTTAAGTTGTACTACTAAGCATCCTGTTTGACCAACTGTTTATATTTGTGGGCATTTCCTCTTTCATTAGAGACGTCTTCAACAGAACTTCCTCTATAAATAACTGATTTGTTTCCTGAACTAATACACACTTGAGTGTTTGTGGTTGTATGGGCTTTTTCGGTTTTCCAAGTAAGTTTTTGAGACATTGCAAAGTGCCTTGTAATATAGGACATCTGAAAAGAAGCTGACCAACTTTTTCATTTTACCTCTAAACTGTTCAAAGAAAATAAGCAAGGCTAAATGCAATTTCACAAGCATCTCTATCATTACAACTCTACCGCCTGCAGTTTTACGATGAGCTCTTTCTGAGTGCTTTATTCGGCCTGATATTTCAAATGCCTAAGTTCTTAGCATCTTACATGGAAAAAGTAATCATTAGTCTTTCTGATTCCGCCAATAATTAATAAATTAGGATGAACACAGACTGAGCTTCTTGTGGCAATACACGTTTTGACCATTTTGACCCTGAGAAAATTATTTCAAAGGCTCTCAACATATTAACTATTATCATCCTTGAAAAATTTAATTAGCACACAGAATACTTAAAATAATTCTATGAAATATTCTGATGTCACACAAAAGCTCATATCTTATATTAAAATGTAAATTTTCCTTAAAAATGGATAGGAGAGAAATGTGTTAATAGAAAAATAAAAATTCAAGGGAGACAAAAGCTAATTCCCATAATGCAGTCCACATCACCTCCAAAAAAAGAAAATAACAAGAAAAAACCTTTAAATTACTGAAAAATATGAATATGGAAAATACAGAAAATAATCAGAAAAATTAATGCAGAGAAATGAACAAATGATGCACGGCAGAAATAGAAATGTTAAGCATTAGCCAGTGTGGCTCAGTTGGTTGGAGCACTGCCCCATAACAGAAAGGTCACAGGTTCAATTCCTGGTCAGGGCACACACCCAGGTTGCAGGTTCGAGCCATGTTTAGGCTGGACATGTATGAAAAAGGCAACCAATTGTCTCTGTCACAGCGATATTTCTCCCCCGCCCCCTCACTCTCACTGTCTCCCTTCCTTTCTTTCTAAAGCAATGAAAAAATGTCCTTTGGTGAGGATAAAAAAAGGGAAATGCTAAATAAACCTTTGCAAAAATATTCAAACTCATAAGGTTGAGTAAGGATAAATGAGACCATTTACTTAGTATAATGTCTGGCACATAATAAATGAAGCTATTAAATCATAACTAACAAGTAAAGAAATGAAAATTTAGGTAACTGTATGTGTGTGTGTGTCTATCTATCTATGCATCCATCTCACACTGTTAAACACTGAAAAAGACTTACGATGCCCAGAGTTGTCAAGAATGTGGAATAACAGGCTCTGTCATAATTTGTCATTTGAATGTAAATAGGTGTGTCCATTTGGAAAACACTTTAATAAAAACCTTTTTAACTAAAAAAATTATGTGTCCTGTGAATGAGCCATTCCACAGCTCGAAATTCATCCTATGGAGCACTGTAACACAGGTGGAAAAATACCTATACAGTGGCAATTTTCACAATGTTAAAGAAAAAGTGAAAATAGTCCAGAAGTCCACCAATAGAGTGTTAGTTAAATAAATATAATAGAACATAATAGTACAGAATATGATTAATATATACTGATATAGAAAATTGTCCAATAAATAATAAATAAATTGCAAAATAGTGGAGATGGTATTCTGTTTTTCTCATATGTGCCTATGTGCATGTGAGCATGTGTATGTACATATATTAGAAAATACATATACTAAAGATAAGAAAGTATACTAAATAGCTTTGGGATAAAGTTACAAGTTAGGTTATATATTATTATAATCTTGTTATTATCATAAGACATGGAAAAAGCTTTTACTGAAAACAATAAAGTCATCATAAATAAAAATATTTATATGACACTACTCCCTGAGAATAATTTTAGAAGAAGTTTAGTTGATTTGGAGATAGAAGGATATGGTTTATCTTTCAACATAAATGAAACTGAAGCACTACAATTTTTCAGAACTCATGGCTTTACCAAAAATGACACCCTGGAACTAAATAAATAAATAAACTAATTCGAGGGGAGGGAATTTCAGGGGAAAAAAGGGAAGGATTTACAGGAACTAGTATAAAGGACACATGGACAACAACTAAGGGGGGTGGAAATGGGAGGGAGGTGGGGAGCAGGGAGGGTGGGCTGGGATGGGAGTAAAAGACAGAATACTGTAGTTGAAAAATAATTAAATTTAAAAAAACAACTAACCTTTCATTTAAGATTATATTCAAATTTAATTTCTTTTAATCTACTAATTTTAAATTTTAAAAATATCTGCTGTGGACTGAATGTTTACATGTCATCAAAAAATTTCTTACATTGCATCCCAAACCCCCAATGTGATACATTTGGAGGTGGGGCCTTTGGGAGGTGATTTTTGTTACATTAGGTCATGAGGTCCAGGCCTTGTGATGGGATGAATTCCTTCATAAAAGTAGGAGGTAACACAGGCTCTCTCTGTACATGCACCAAGGAAGGCCACAGGCGTACAGAAACAGCCAGAGGGCCCTCACCAAGAACCTGACCACACTGGCACTCTGACCTGAGTTCCAGCTTCCAGAATTGTGAGAAGTAAATGTTTATTATTTAAGTCACCCAGGAGTTCTCTTCCATCAGCTCAAACTAAATAAGACACACATTGAGTGAACAGACTATTCTTTCTTATTTAGAAATGTTACTGTTTCCCCTAATTATAATTACACCAAGGAAGCTGATTAAGCTTTATTATTACAAAGGTTTTGGGTTTTTTTCCTGCATGTGGAGTCAACAAACAGAGCTGAGTGGTCCTAAAAGCTGTATGATACCAGATTCAGTATTAAGTAATGTCTGTACATGTGTGTATGAAAATTTATAGATTTCAAAACCACTAGTTCACTCGATACATAATACAAGAAGGACCCAATTGACCTTGTCAACTTCCCATGGACTTTTGCAGACACTCCATTCACTCTGATCACAGTCCATTCAGAGTCTTTTGTTTTTTCAAAGGACTTTTTCTGGATGATGGTGTTTGCCATTTCCCCTAATCCCCCTTCCCATCAGACTCCTGAATGTGCCACACTCCAAATTTTTCACTGCTTGTATTCCTTAATCAAAATTTTTATAGTGCTCTCAGACTTACACCATACACCAAAATAAAGTCAAGGTAGATAAAAGACTTAAATATAAGCCTTGAAACCATTAAAGTCCTAGAGGAGAACATTGGCAGGAAAATCTCAGATATTTCACGCAGCAACATTTTTACTGATATGTCCCCTAGAGCAAGGAATATAAAGGAAAGAATAAACAAATGGGATCTCATCAAAATAAAAAGCTTCTGCATGGCTAAAGAAAACAGTATTAAATTAGCAAGACAACCAACTGTATGGGAAAACATATTTGCCAATGATACCTCAGACAAAGGTTTAATCTCCAAAATATACAAAGAACTTACACGACTCTACTCTAAGAAGACATCTAACCCAATTAAAAAATGGGAAAAGGACTTGAACAGACACTTCTCCAAGGAGGACATACAGAACATCCAGAGACACATGAAGAGATGTTCAATATCGCTAGCTATCAGAGAGATGCAAATTAAAACCACAATGAGACACCACTTTACACCAGTCAGGATGGCTATCATAAACAAAGCAACCAACAACAAATGTTGGAGAGGTTGTGGGGAAAAGGGGATCTTAGTTCACCTTTGGTGGGATTGCAGACTGGTACAACCATTATGAAAAACAGCATGGAATTTTCTCAGAAAACTAAAAATGGACCTGCCTTTTGATCCAGCAATTCCACTGCTAGGATTATATCCTAAGAACCCTAAAACATCAATTTCAAAGAACCTATGCACCACAATGTTCATAGCAGCACAATTTACAATAGCCAAGAGTTGGAAGCAACCCAGGTGCCTGTCAGTAAATGAATGGATCAAAAAATTGTGGTACATATACACAGTGGAATTCTATGCAGCAGAGAGAAAGAAGGAGCTACTACCCTTTGCAACAACATGGATGGAACTGGAAAGCATTATGCTGAGTGAAATAGGCCAGGTGCTGAAAGACAAATACCATATGATCTCACCTTTAACAGGAAGCTAAACAACAAAACAAACAAGCAAGCAAAATAAAAACAAAGACGCTGAAATAGAGAACAGGGGGACAGCGACCAGAGGGGAGAGGGAAGAGAATTTAAGGGTAAAAAAAAGGGGAGGGATTTGGAGGAACAAGTATAAAGGACACAGGAACAATAACTAAGGAGGGAGGAAATGGGAGGGAGGTGGGGAGCACGGGGTGGGGTGGGCTGGGATGGGAAAAATAGAAAACTGTACTTGAAAAATAACTAAATAAAATTTAAAAAATTTTTATAGTGCTCTGATTTCACTAGGTATTTTTGTTGGTTTCGACAGAATAAACTCAATTATGCTAAGGTACAAATTACTGTGAACTGTTTGATATATTCCCTCACCTGAGAAAATTAAATCTATCAAAGGAAATGGAGATAGATTCTTATTTAGAGAATAGTTTCTTATTTAAAGGGATAATTAGAGGAAGTAGAGCTTCAGAAAGTGTGACAGGAGGCTGGGTCTTCCTGGTATTCCTGCAATCACACTCTGAGTCAACTGCTTCCACCACTGACCAATAAAGCTGCCAGGGTACACGAAGGCTAGAGGCAGTAAGTTCTGCCTGGATGTACTCACAGGTCACCGTGGATGAGTCCGTAGATTTGTGGCATGCTCTGATGATAGATTCCTCTCAAGATCACTATGAGGAGAATCACCACAAAAGCTGGAAGTCCCCAACTCAGAAGGAAAAACAGCAGATATCGCCTCTCTGTGTGTTCATCATTCATCACCAGTACGTACCAGAAATTCACGGACTAAGAAAGTAAAAAGAACATAAAATGAACAGGCTCTGGTCTAATGGCACAGGACACAGATCTACCTGGCTTAGTAGCAAGTGACAGGCCAACAAACAGCTAGGATTTAATTACTGGTTATAGTTTGGAGCTGATTTTTTTAGTTAGGGCATATATTCATCCTTTCATAAACCCAAGAAATTTAGGAGACCTCAAAGGTCTAGATACACTGTGAAATAGTTAGTATATTGTACTTTTAATTTTTCTTAATTTTGGATTTAATCTCAGTCATAATCTTCTGTGACTGTGTCATAGGCAAACTGAGTTATTAACAACCACACCTAAAACAAAAGCAAACTAAGGGGACAGCTAGGTCAGGAGTAGAACCATAGAAATGGAGATCACATGGAGGGTTAGCAACAGGGGAGTGGGAGGAGGAGAAGGGGGGAAAAGGTACAGAAAATAAGTAGCTTAGACGGTAGATAGAAAATAGACGGGGGAGGGCAAGAATAGTATGGGAAATGTAGAATCTAAAGAACTTGTGACACATGGACATAAACTAAAGGCGGAGAATGGTGGGGAAGGGGGTGTGCAGGGTGGAGAGGAATGAAGGGGGGGAAAAGAAACATACACTGATACTCAAACCTGCTTCCTAGGTGAACAATTCCATGATGATAATGAAGTAAATAGCTCTATATTCCCACACTTGTGGACAGTTTTTATTTATTGAGGGCCTATCAACTGATAGGCCAGGCACTGTGCCAGGGAAAAGGGAGATGACCGTGAAGAGAACCCCAGGGCCAGACGCCCTCCCCCACCAGCAGGAGGCACAGGCAAGGACACGGAAAATGACTGCACAGAGGGGAAAGCACTGCGGTGGGGGAGGCTTTGTGGCCCCTCTTCCTTCTCAGTTTATACTCTCTCCTTTAGTTCATTCATTTGAGAAACATTACTTGTTTACTACATTTCTGGGGTCAGTCTGGATACTAGGGACACAGCAGTGAAACAGTTGGGGGAGGTATCTGCTTTCCTGAATCTTAGTCTCTAAACAAGTGGGAAAATAGGGGAGAAATCTATTTTATATTGTATTTATATCATATTTAATATCTGTTATTTCTTATATAAGACACACATTATAAAAGGGACACGTTTATTGAGAGTGAAGGTTGAGGGGGCACATTAGATGGACAGAATAAAGAAACTGAGACCTGGAAATATTACTGGTCCCAAATCCTACTCCTAGTTTTTATCTAAGCCAAATCGAGAACTTATAATATATATTCTGCTTTCTAGTGTTCTCCTTCCTTGAGGAGCACACATGTTCAATTTAGTATAAAAATAACAGTGAATGTCATGGCATACATAGCTCACACAATAATACTCCTTCACTGGATAAACTCCCCTTCTCAATTTCTTACGGTGAAATGGCTGTGAGTACAGATGACTTACATACACACACACACTAGCAGGATAACCTTGCACAAGTAACGATATCCCCAGAGGCTCAGTTTCCTCATGTGTACAATACGGTTGTTATAAAGATTAAATGAGATATTACAGATGAAGTGCTGGGCACATAGTCACCCTGGGGAACAATATTGCCACCTCCCTTAAAATCTCCTATTAGAATGTCAGATAGTATGAAAGACAAAAGATAAACAGCTCAAGACCAACAGTAAGCAGATACAATGAAAACTCTTGCTATGTGAAAAATAAGCATGCCTAATGCTACTCAGAAAACTTGCAGATGCTCTTTGCTAAGGCTTCCAAGTAAGATTCCATCTGAACAAAATGAGCCTTGAGGAATTAGTACTAATGGAGCTAAATGAAGAGAGGATAAAAATGTTTGGTTACTTGGAGATTTTTGTCTCTGAATTTTATTTCTTGTCAGCACTCCTTATCTTGATGTGTATCTGCTTACATCTGTAATTATGAAGCATGTTATGAGTTGTTGCTTATGTAACTCCATTCTGCTTTCTTTTTTAAAATTATTAGATCCAACAGGATTCCCCCTACTTTTTCTATAATTAGCATAGAAACAAAGACAGAAATAAGTGAAATTGTATCAGCTGCCTGATGCTGAGGTGATCCACACTGCCTGTTTTTCACGCAAAATAAGGATGGTGGGACCACCTCCAAAATAAAAGTCCTAATTATTTATTTTAAATAGATGCTTGTGTGTATCCAGATAACACAGTTATTTTAGTGGTGCAGTTGATGGAAGAATCAGGAAGGAGAGCACAGATTGGTCAATGTCTTCCACATTGATTCATCATGATAAAGATCGGACACTTCCAAAATGTCTGCTTTTACAGAGATGAGCATTAGTTCCATCAGTTAAAACCACTGACCCTTTCAGCAGCTGTCTGACCTTTACCACAGGCTCAGATAAGACTGAGACAAGTGTTAAGTGTGTGTTAGATTTATACATGCAATGCTTCAGCTCCAAAGAGAGCAAGGCACACTGTTGCAGGATTCTCAGGTACTCTAAGACAAGCTAAAAAAGTCATAAGCTTTTGTCAATTAAAAAAAATCACTTTCTTTCTAAAATGACTCCAATCACAGAGGTATACTCTAAGGACAATATTTCCCATAATATGCCTTTTATATTTTTGGCTATAAAGTAGAAAAACTATGTCATGAAACATTTAATTATTCTAGAAAGTATATGGACCAAGCATAAGATTTGTTTTGACAAAGTTTTACTGGAATTTTTAAATATTTTAATATAGTATGGTAGGTATATTTTGGGATACGCCGGGCCATGTGCTCTCCTTCTCTGAACCCTGTGTCCCTACTCCTACTTCCTCGCCCCCACCGCCCCTTCGACCCAGCACGTTCAGGGTGGGCTCATGACCTGGGCTCCTCTTCCACAGCTGCTCTGATCCAAGGGAGAAGCCTGACCCAGGCTGGGCCAACTATCCATCATTCAATTCCCCAAAATTTGGTGATAGTCTAAGTTGGTCAACTGAGAAAACAGGACAAATGAACATTAGTGGTGGGGAGTAGCCAACACACGGTAAAGACAGAAAGTGTGTTTCAGAGAAGAATAGACAAAACCTTTCATTCATGCTCACAGTCCCATGCTCAGTCCCAAATGAGTTTACAGTTCTGGAGCTCACTGAGTTATCCTATATGCTTATTATTCCTTTTATGATTTCAATGGTTGCTTAAATTAAGTCGATTTAGTTTTTCCTCACTCTTAAACAAAACAAAACAAAACAAAAAACCTTGACTGAAGTTGGATTAAAAGTTCCAAATATTGCCAGTGTTTAAACAAACAGAATGGAACATTTGACTTATAGTGCTTTCCCTAATCACGGTTCTTTCTTTGAAAACTAAAGTAAGAGTATTAAGAGATCATTGTATTTGCACAATAATTTTATGTTAATAAGTATACAGCATATATGCTCTGTGTACTTTAGTGTCTTTGTGTTTATGTAATACTGGAAATAACAAAATTTTCATTTTCAAGTGAGAGGGTGTCAATCTCAGCAAACACGCTTCACATGTATTGGGTACGGCTTACCACTTACTGCCTATCTTACATTTTCTTCCTGCTAAAGGCTAAATGGAACTGAAAATTCCAATATAGGCCTCTATTTACATTTTTATCTCCAAGCTTTGAAAATTTTATAAAAACCACCTTATGGACTGTCTAAAGATATATTCATCATGTAGATAAAATGTTATTATCCCCAAATATAACCAACTATATTAATCCAACTTGACTATAATTCATATATACAGAAACAAAGTTTCTCAATATTAATGTGATGTACGCCCTGAAGATTAAAGATTAAAAAGTATTTTCAGCTTTGGAAACCTTCCAATTAGCCATGTTGAAAAAGGTAACTGAATAAAATTTTCTTTAGTATGTTTAAAAATCAGTGACGTTACCATAGGGATCTTTAATGCCAACTCTAATCACTGTTATATTCAAATGATCACCTTATTTTTGCCACTGCTGACCATGAAGAATGCTGTATTTGTATTTGCACACTTACTACAACTGCCAACACTTCCAGATTACCTGGGTTACTGTAACTTGAGAGAACTTAATTTAAAGTCCATTTTATAAATTTTAAATTTTAAGAAAACTACCTAATGATATTTTTAGAATTTTTCTATCATAAACATAATTCATAGAAGTGCTGGAAAGGAAGGTGTGTAAAGGCATGCACACTTAAAAGATAAATTTTCAGGCAAGTAAGAATTTTGAAAATACTTATAAAAATTTGAAAAGTCAGTGTGAGTAGTGACTTGATTTGTCTTTTTGACGTGATTCTGCATGGACAAGCCATACATTTTAATCTTGTGGGTTTCAATCTCCCCTTCAGGTAAAAACAGAGGTTAAAGTGTAAGTTATTACCAATGTCCTGCCCCACACTTTGTGACTGAATTATTGTAGAAATCATGATTCCTTAAGTAGAAACACTAATGGCATGGATGCGCTAAGAATTTAGCAGTGATAACAAATCTCACAGATCATCTGACCATCCTTTGTTTGAGAGATGAGAAAACTGAGGGGGTGAACAAAAGCAGTTTTTAAAAAAATATTCTTTTTAGTTATAAAATGGGAGTGGAACACAGATCTAAAGCACATTGAAGACTGACTACATTTAAGACTTATTTCTATAGAAATTCATACAAGTATTGACAATATTAACATTTGCACAAGCTTATTATTTTTGTCTACATTCCCTCTACTCACTTTGTACAAGTATACCAGTGGAGATGCATTTTCCTGGTACAAGTATGGAAATAAATCTTTTTTTCCCTCTATTATTTTTTTCCTAACATTATATGAAAATTTATAAAAGTTTATAAAGATATAAAGGGCTGAAACATAACTGTGAGCTGTTGCAGATTAATTTTTATATACCTCATACTAACAAATAAAATGCTTTGCTTTATTGAGAAATTTAAAATAAATAAACATGTATATAATTTGAGTTAACAAGTTTAATTTAATAATAATTTCACAATTTGGTTGAGTTGAATTTATTCATTTATATACT